CTCCCTTCCTTCCGCCGCGCCCTTAAGACTTGGTTATTCCAGCTTGCAGGACTGGCCTAGGGTAATTTTTAGAGGGGTTTTAATTATATTTTAATTGGACTATGTTTAAAATATTTCTTTTTAATTAATTTTAAATCTGTAATTGTCATTTATGTATTTTAATTGATTGTCAGCCGCCCTGAGTCCGCGAGGAGAAGGGTGGGATATAAATTTAAATATAATAATAATAATAATATAAATCCTTCCCTTCCCCACCATCCAGTCACAGGTGAAGAAGCTTCTTGGATGAGAAGCGAAACCTCTTCAAAGAAAAAAAAGAAAGTCCAGTTGCCTCTTGAAAAAAGCACCTTTGGGATAACTATGACCTGGATGACTGAGAATCTCCACAGACATAAAGTCAGGCCCTTAAAGGAAGCCACCCCACCACTTTCCGTGGTCACCTCTCAGGCAAGGCAGAAGAAGGGACGTACCTAGAGCAGACACCTCCTCGTAATTCTCCAGCATGACCTCTCTGTATAGAGCTCTTTGGTCCAGATCCAGCAAGGCCCACTCCCCCTCGGTGAAATATATGGACACTTCTTCAAAAGTCACCTGAAAGAAAAGGGGACCTTCTCAACAGTTTGTGGGTCGAGGGCAATCTCAGGATGGGAAGAGGCCTTAAACTGGGACTGCAGAACGTGTGGGCCTCCAGACCTTGCTGGATGACAACTCCGTCACTCTGAGACTAGAGTTAAAATCTTGTGTGATAGTCCTCCCCAACCTAAGGACTTATGTACCATACATCGTACAATCAAGCTTATGCACCGAGTACATATTCCTTGGGTGTTCAATCACGCTTGGGCAATAAAGAATTTATTCTATTCTATTCCATTCCATTCTATTCTTATTCCGTTCCATTCTGTTCCGTTCCATCCGTATTCCATTCCATTCTTATTCCATTCCATTATTCCATTCCATTACATTCTTATTCCATTCCACTCTTATTCCATTCTATTCCATTCCGTCCCATTCTACTCTTATTCCATTCCACTCTTATTCCATTCCATTCTTATTCCATTCCGTTCTATTTCGTTCCGTTCTATTTCGTTCCATTCCATTCCATTCCATTCTATTCTTATTCCATTCCGTTCCATAACATTCTATTCCATTCCGTTCCATTCCATTCTTATTCCATTCCATTCTTTATTCCATTCCATTCTTATTCCATTCCGTTCCATAACATTCTATTCAATTCCATTCTTATTCCATTCGTATTCCATTCGTATTCCATTCCATTATTACATTCCATTCCATTCTTATTCCATTCCACTCTTATTCCATTCTATTCTATTCCATTCCGTCCCATTCCACTCTTATTCCATTCCGTTCCATTCTATTCCGTTCCATTCCATTCCATTCCATTCGTATTCCATTCCATTCTATTCATATTCCATTCCGTTCCATAACATTCTATTCCATTCCATTCTTATTCCATTCCATTCTATTCCATTCCATTCTTCGTATTCCATTCCGTTCCATAACATTCTATTCCATTCCGTTCCGTTCCATTCCATTCTTATTCCATTCCATTCCGTTCCATTCTTATTCCATTCCGTTCCATAACATTCTATTCCATTCTGTTCCATTATTATTCCATTCCGTCCATTCCATTCTTATTCCATTCCATTCTATTCCATTCCATTCTTCGTATTCCATTCCGTTCCATAACATTCTATTCCATTCCATTCGGTCCCATTCTTATTCCATTCCATTCCGTCCCATTCCATTCTTATTCCATTCCATTCGTATTCCATTCCGTTCCATAACATTCTATTCCATTCCGTTCCGTTCCATTCCATTCTTATTTC